CTGAGGAAGGTGCTAAAACCTAAAAATAGCTTGAAGTCAGTCAACAGCCCACTCTGACTCAGACCCTAACCCAGTACCTTTCCCGAATCACAGACACAGAATCACATTAGCAAACTATGGGCACGTACACCCCAGGAGTGTAAGGCCCACAAGTACTTTACGAAACGCTGCATGTTACCTGTCAGTCTAGCCCCATACAGGAACCACTATCTCCCTGTGGCTTACTAAGCACCTACACATGGCAAAAGCTCCAAGGGAAATGTAATTTAAGTTTTAAATAGCCCCATGAAGCTAGAACTCCTCTTAAACAATGAAGTACTGGATTAAATACAATCTCAAAGCCCACTTAAAAATGGAAGACCCTGCCTTTCTCTTATCCCGGAAAGCTGATAATGAGGTTGACAGCACACAGGTAAATGGGTGGAGGAGCCTCTCTGGAGGCCCTGCAGGGTCCCCAAGAGCCAATCTTCTGACTATGACACTTTGCGATTCCTTGATAAGAACAACTGGCTTACCTACAAGGGAGGCTATCCTACCCTGCTGTTCAGCTCTGAGAAAGGAGACGCATACCCAAAGGTCAATAGGCATTTAAGTAAAGACTCTACGAGGAGAGAACACTGGGAAAAGAGAGATCAAAACTGATCTTCAAATAAACCCTAACAACCCTCTAGTTCTAAAATGCATGTCAACTACAAAACAAGAGAATTTAATAAAAAGGACATAGTTATAAAGACAAGCTCTTGAAAATTAAGTCAAATAAAAATTCCACATAAGATTTAAAAGGCTCAAAATAGTCAAATAACTTAGTAAGAAAATGGTTTTAACCCAGAGGTCCAACATCCTATTAATACTCCAGAAAGAGAACACAGACGCAAGAACAGCACTGAAGATATAACTCAGAATTTTCCCTGAACTAAAAAAAACCCTAAGGCCCAGCCCAACAAATGAGAAAAGACCCACCCAGGCAGCTAACTTAAAACTTTCAGAATATAAATGAGGAAGGAGAAGAGTCTTAAAGCCTGCAGAATCTAAATGACACGACACTGGACTTCAACAGCATCAATGGAAGCCTGAACACAGTGAGATGAGACCTTACAATTCTAAGAAAGCGTCACTTCCATATTTAGAATACTGATAAAAAGAACTGTTGCATGAACTGTGGAGGCCATACCTTACCAGACAAACCGTCACACAGAGGAGCAATATGACATGAAGAGCAGAAGAGAGCTGGTGTCAGTCAGTGCAGACGAGACTATGAATTATCTGACACTTTCAGAGATACTGACAAGTTCTGAGAGGGTTTATACAGGTATATATATACATGTATATAAGTATACAACAATAGGTACACAGGGAGAAAAAGGAAATTATCTCTACATGTAAATAATCATAAACAATATGACATAGCAGTGAATACTTTTATGAATATTGCAAACAAAATTTTAAACAAAAATTCTAAAAAAAAAAAAACAACAACAATTGAAAGGCTTGAGTGGGGAAGAGTCTAAGTAAATCATCACTAACAATCATGATAAAGTTTGAATTAAGAACTCAATAAATAAAATGTGCTATGTAGAAATTATATTTAACAAGTAAAAAACCAAATACTATAGCTGACATTTGCTTGGAAGTGAGGGAGACTGGAAAGGAAAGAGCTGTTTTTTGTTGTTTTTGTTTTTATATAAAACTTGGAATCTTAAAACTCTGCAAAGATACAGGAATCTTTTTTAATTAATCATTATTAGAAAAAAATTTTTTTTTACCACATTTAGATAATTTTCATAACCTAAGCATACCTCCTGTAAGTTTTGGTCTTCTTGAGTCCAAGAATTTAAAACGTGTGCTCCTGAGTCACTCACAATGAAATTCACCTAATAGACGTCAAAGAGACAATTAGTATTCGGCTCTAATTTCACTCAGTCACCATCACATTCTATAACACACAATTCCTAATACCGGCAACTACGTGGTTCACCATTCTGTGGTGACAGACACAAAGTCCTGTCAATGTGGAGGCATCGGGGTGAGAGACGTGGTCAAGCAGTGCAGAAGAGCACAAGCAGACAGATGAGCAGGGCAGCTTCATAGGATGGCACACACTCAGTAGGCTGCTCAAGGCCGGGTGGGGCGGACAGGCTCTCTACAGACGGAGCAACTGAAGGGACTCCAAAATGACTAATGAACTAGCCACCGAACAGGCCAGGGACAGAGAATTCCAAGTACAGCCAAAAGCAGATGCAAAGGCCTCCACATTTAAATGCACTTCCCCAAAAGGTAAAATCCAGGACAAGCAGGGGGTCTGGAGATAACCCTGAAGAAACAGGGCGCTGACGCCAAGTAATGGGCATAAACTATGTATGTTCTGTTCTTCCATCCACCTCAATACACAATATTAAAAAATACCATAAGGGATGAAAGCGGTATAGTGCCTGCCTAGCATGCAGTGTTGGGTTTGATCCTACTACCACAACAAAACAAAACCTTATCAGGTAAGATGATAAGGACCTTGGCCAAGCAAAGATCTAATGTGCTAGGCCCTGCTTAGGCTCCTGCCAGTAAGAAGGAACACACACCATCTACTTGCAGTTAGATACTGAAACCTAAAGGTAAAACTTTAACACTTGGAATTTCGATCAAATGTCAACGCGTTTTCTTACTGATGAAAACAACAGGGGCTGGAGAGATGGCTCAGTGGTTAAAAGCACTGTCTGCTCTTCCAAAGGACCAGGCTCAATTCCCAGCACCCACATGGCAGCTCACAACTGTCTGTATTTCCAATTCCAAGGGATCTGACACCTTTACACTAATGAACATAAAATAAAATTAAATAAACTAAAAAAGAAAACAACAAATAAACAAAACACGACCACCACCACCAACAAAAACTTAGCTTTTTGGAGCTGGGAAGGTGGTTCATGCCTTTAATCCCAGCATTTGTAAGACTGAAGGAGGTGGATCTCCATGAGTCCAAGGCCAGCCTGGTCTATGTAATCAGTTCCAGGCCAGCCAGGGCTACAAAATAACAACGTCTCAACACTCCTTCCACTTGAGATAGCAGCTGTTCTCCAAGCCTGTTCCATACCTGTAACATCCCTTGTACGTGGCCTAACTGTGTCAGGAAAGCCAACAAGTATAAAGCACTTTGGAGCACGTCTAGAACTTGCACGTGCTCAGTATTCATTAGCCTTTGTTACTGCTGGCCACTATTAAATATCAACACTGTATTAATCAGAAAGCACAGTTCTGCATACATTTTGACTATACAGTTACAAATCTACAGAAAATTCACACAGTAACTATTTACACAGTGAGGTACACCCCAAGTCATACTTTTGTCCATAACACTCACCAGCTTTTTGAAAGGAAATATGTCATACATTATTCGACAATATTCCATAGAAGACTCTACTGAGCACGTCCACAAGGACTTAGAGATGGGAGCTAAAGGGATGATTCCTTGGGTCCTATTCTTCACCAGCATATCAAACTCCACATGCTGTCTGCAGGATTCTGCCATGTAAGGGCAGTGGTCCACAACAAACACTGTTTTATGAGATTCCGAAAAAATCTTCATCTTGTTTTAACCTGTAGAAGGATAAACATACCCATCAAATGTTGACACAAAACATTTACCTTAAGTGATTTCTCACTTAGGTGTTTTTTCCTCAAGATTTGTTAGGAAGCTTAAGTTCTGGGAATTTTGTGCACCACGGGCCAATGGTTGGCCAATGGTCAGTTCAAGGCATGAGCTACATCATACTATGCAATTCATCAGACAGAGTAAGTTCGTAAAATAGTGAAAACCCGCACACGTAATTTGCATTTGATCCCGACATCCCTAAACTGCAGACCTTAGGGGCTAAGGGAAAACCCACAGAAAAGAATTACAGCAAAAGTGCAGCCAAAAATACACACACAGCTCCTAAGGTGTGTGTATATCGGGTCTTCCCGTGCAGCCTTCACTTATCCTCTCCCTCAGCCTGCAATACACTACTGTAACTCACCACGTAGACCGGAACAAACATGCTTTCCCCATGCTGGTGAGGACGAAAACACTTATAAAACTTTTCCTTGTAAACAGAGAACGTGAACATGTAGGGGACTCCCCTGCGTCGTTCATAAAATCTTACACAGGACAGAAATAGTTAAATAAACCTGCAATCCTAACGCAGATGGGAAGCCGAGCGAGTGTGAACCGTAAGGAACTACGTTCGGGTCCCGCTATTCTCTTCTGCGGCTCCGGAGCACCCCGCCCCGCCCCGCCAAGTCCCTCTCCGCAACCTTCCGCACACACCTGGCTGCAGGGCGGGGGGCGGTGTGCAAGGCGGGCGGACGGGGAAGCCCTCGGCATCCGGGTTCGCTTACTTTCGTGCCCGGTCCCGCGGTGAACGAACGGAGGCCGAGGGAGACCGCTGACGGGGCGGGTGGGCAGCCGGCGCACGGTCGGAGTCCGGTAGCACTCGCAGAGGACTGTGACTGCCCGGCTCATCTCCCAACACACCGGCTTCCTAAGCGCGGGGGCGGGCGCATGCGCGGGCGCGCACCGGGGCGCACTCGGGCTCGCGCGTGCGCACGGCGCTCTCGCTCAGCCCCGCCATCTTCCCTTCCCCTAAGAGGGAAACACACCGGAGGCCGGACCGGAAGAGGGCGGAGCAAGTGGGGGGGGGGGAAAAGATGCCGTCAACGATTGTTCCCAACCAACCGCTGGGAAGAACCTGAGAGAGTCCCGGAGCGGAGCGCTCGCCGCGGCGCGGCTCACCCGGCCTCGGCTCTGCCGAGCCAACGCACGCAACCTCCCCTCCTCCGCCTTCCAGCCAGGCCGGCAGCCCCTCGGAAAACACGCGAGAGCTTGCAAGCGGCGGAGCCACAGCGTGAGAGCGGGCGAGAAGGAGCCCGCCCCCTCCGTCCCTTCCACCAATCAGCGGCGAGCCGCCTGCTGGGGGCGGGGCGGGGGCGGGGCGGAGGAAGTCTCGCGAGGCTTGTCGCTGCGCTGCTGCCGGTAGCGGAGGTTCTGCTCCGGCCCGGGATGGAGCCGAGGCGCGCGCGCTGCCGCTGCGAACCGCCGCTGTTTGTGCGGAGCCGCCCGTCCGCTCGCTGAGCAGGCGCCGCGAGGGCGCGGAGACTGCCCCCGAGTGCCTCGACCCCGCGGTGCCCCTCGCCGTGTCCCCTCCGCCGAGTGAGTGGACTAACACGCGTGGGCGGGTCCCGGAGCCGGGCTCCTCCTCTCCGCGCTGCCGCCGAGCTCCTGTCGGGACCCGAGGTACGGAAAGTTGTGCGCGGACCCCGGGCCCGCGCTTCCCGCACACCCCTGCCGGGTTTGTTTTCTCCCTGCCCCGCTCCTCCGGAGCTCCGCGGGCGGCGGCGCGAGGGACGGGTGGCTGTTGGGTTTACCGCTGTCCTGAGGGAGCGGCTGGGACCGTTTTCACCCTGCAGCGCCCTTCCGGATCTTGCTCCAAGTTGAAAAACTGGTTTTCTTCCGAAAACGAGAGGCTCCAGGTGTGTGCGTTCCACCGTTTTCAGGAACAGTGCGGTGCTCCGCTTTGAGAGTGATGCTTGTTTACGTGAGTGATCTGCGAGCCTTGTTTCTCTACCCCGGTCGGAGGTTTTCTTTGAAAGACATTTTTATATTACTGTTTCCATATCCAGCTGCCATCTCGTACTGTGTCTGCTCGGCAAGAGCAAGGGCTCTCTTGCCGCTTTTCTTTCCGTCCCTGCTCGGAGCATCCTCCTCCTTTCTAGACCACGGACCTCAGAATTGTCTAAGGTTCTGTATTTCACTCACAGCACCTGGTTGTTTCTTCTTTCTCTGTGCCCTTCCTCCACCCCAAACGGGTTTCCCCGCCTCAGCCTTCCTTTCATTCTTTTTGTGAAATGCATTATCTTTCCTGAAACTTTTTCAAGTTCTAATTAAACATACCGACTTGTCAGGCCTTTTTTTCTCTTCTGTCTCAAATCGTAGTTTACCTTTTTAGCATTTTTTACCGTTTTTGCTGTCCCTAATTCTTTACCATCCACCCATTCCAGGCTGTTGGGTGTTTCCCCCAACCGAGCCTCATCTTTCCACCACTGTGCCTTTGAGCGCCCGCATCGTCTGTTGGGATGCTTGCTTTTCCTTAGCACAACCCAGTTCATAGTTCGTTCTCTATAGACTCCCTTGGATGACATCGATAATACAGTGAGCGCCCAGAGCTCTTGACATAGTTCTGCAGTATTTATTAGGGTGTATTATTTGTTCCATTACCTGTCTTTCCTGCCAGCTTGAACTCAAGTCTGGAACCATGTCTTATTCATGTTTAAAACAAGCTAGTTCAGTTGGCACATGGCAGGCATTATTTATGTATACCTACATACATATTTATAATGTAATTGTTCTAAAAGATTTGCTATGAAAATTCTCAAGTCTCTTAAAAAGCAGAATATTAGAACCCAAAGAAACTTATTTTAGGGTAAATGCCCTTAATAGAGTCTGAATGTGAGCAGCCTTGTTTTCCAAGCACATATGTAATTGTACTTTTGCTATTAGTTGATGAGGATTATCTATAATAGCAAATGCATGTGCGTGCACACGCCCTATGCCTTCAAATGATTTTATGTTAGCATTTATTTGACAACTAGGATTTTATGCAATACAACTGTTTTTGACACTGCTCGGCAGACATGCATTCATGCAAGAAGACTTCCACTGACTCCTTGACCCGTGTTAGGAATAGCTGGCTTAGGTTAGGTCTTTTTGGGGTTGTTAATTTAAACACACACACATGGCACAGCCACGGTTTTAGGAAGTGTATAAATTGGTTTTGATTTACCAGTGTTCTTTCTCTCAAATTGTCTTCCTTTCGACTCTGAGGATTGATTTCTTTCATAAAGCTCCAAGTACATTCGTTTTCAAAAGAGCAGAAATTGTCTGTACTTTGAAATAGTGTATATATCTGCACAAGACCCCCCCCCCCCACAGGGTTTCTCTGTGAAGCCTTGGCTGTCCTGAAACTCACTCTGTAGACCATGGTGGCAGGCCTTGAGCACAGGCTGCCTCTGTCTCCCAGGTGCTGGGGTTAAAGGTGCGCACCACCACTGCCCAGATAAGATGCTCGGATTTTTATGTGTCATTTATATACATTATTTCTTTGTTTTTGAGATTGAGTCTTTATAGCCGAGGCCGTCCTAGAGCTCACTCTGTAGACCAGGCTGGCTTTGACCAAGCTCACAGACAACTGCCTTCTCCTGCCCCCTAGTGCTGGGACAAACGTTGTGATCACTTCTGGCTGTGTATATTCTTGATCTCTTCAATTCTAATAGTTCTCCGAAAGACTTGAAACATTTTTATTTTGCTATCTCCATGTGCCAGTTAATATCTTATCTAATTAGCTGCTAACATTAGAGGTACTCACCTGAGCAATAACAAATTTTAAACTAAATTTTTGATATTTAAAACCATGTCTGTCATATCATGTCATGTTTGTTATCTCCAGAAATTGGTAATTAGTAATTCATTTATAAAAGTAACGAGAGTTACTTGAATTTCTTTTGGTCTTTCTTAACTCAAAGCTAAAATTAAGCAGCTGGCAGTGGCTGTCGTGGGTAGGTGGAGGTTTCTGTAATCAGCGGCAGGATGTTCTGGGCCATCTGTAAGAATCTGCTGCAGAGATCTTAGTGTTAGAGTGGGTGGACATGGCCTACGCAGGAAGCAAAAGAGAAAAGGAAACTTGTTTCTCAAAAGCGTACCCCTGTAATCTAAGCCTACCTGTATAAAATAATTCAAGTATATTACGAATCATTAAGACAAGGACTGAAAAAATAGGCACATAAATTGAAAATATCCCTTCTGTAAATTAGAGTCCATTTTTTAAAATTTGTAACATGTGGAAAACAGTATCTCTCCACTTTACTTACTAGCGAAAATGAAAGAGAAAGCATCTGTTAAAAAAAAAAAAATGGCAAAAGCCTGGTCATGACATACCTCTTTAATCACAACACTCAGGAGGCAGAGACAGCAAATCTCTGTTGGTTTGAAGCCAGCCTGGTCTAAATAATGAGTTCCGTATAGCCAGGGCTCCGCTATAGAGAAAGCTTGTCTCAAAAAAAAAAAAAAAGGTATGGCAAAGCAAATTCATATTATAAAATACTTTAAGCTTTTGAGGTTTTGCAAACAGGAAATGAGTACACAGATTTTCAGAAGCTGTGTCACTTTTTCTGAAATGTTAATAAAATTAGGTAATAGCTTATAATCCCTTCTGTGTAGATAAGTTTTTATACTTCTGAAACACAAAATGTAGTTCATTTTATTAGTCTTTGTGCAGCCTAGAGAACATTTTTTAAAGTAGTTGTTTTTTTAAGCCCACCATATTCATTGTTTAATTTTTATTAAAACAGTTGCTGGATTTTTATAGTTACATGAGAAAATATAAAGTTTTATTGTTTAAAATTGTTCTTCATACACATTTCCATTGGCTGACTCAAAATGAGAAACTTAAATCTTTTAGGAGTTCCCGTTTGTAGAGTCAGAGAATTTGTTCTTTCCATCTTGGGCTAGGACGGTTTTTACAGAGGAAGAGACAAATAGGGCCCTCGGTCCAGCTCAGCTGAAGAGTTTCAGCCCTGGCACTAGCTGGGCTCTCACTAGCTCCTGTATCTGGAATTTTTGAGTCTCTTTTCTCAACGCAAAAAAGAAAGGAGCAGCACTTGTCCTTTGTGTAAAGGTCAGGGTAAGGTGGTGTCTCCAGTCTATCTCGTGCCTTACAGGAGCTTGCCATCCGGAGGAAACCTGGTTTGTCAGTGGTTTTCACAGTTTCATGTTTCATGCTTTTGGTCATGCCTTAAAGAAGAAAAGAAAAAACAAAAGAACTTTGACTATCTCCAGATTGCAGAGAATTTTTTTCTTTTTTTCCTCATAATACCATTTTTTATTTTATATTAAAGTTTGTGCTCCATTTTGAGAAAAGCTTCAAACCATAGAGCTTTATATAAACTAAGTAAGAGTTGTGTTGAGATTACTTTCTGGTATATAGGTAGACTTCCTTCAACAAGTATATACTACTTGTTGAAAAACTGTTAACTTTTCTCTTAAAAAAAAAAGTGTGTTCATGTGAGCACGCTCGTGGAGGCCAGAAGAGGGCTTTGGATTGAAGCTGGGGTTCATTTGTGAGCTCCCTGACAGGGATCTGAACCCTAGTCCTCCTAGTTGAGCACCAGCACTGTTAACCACAGAGCCATCCTTCTAGCCCCTTTGACTTGCCTTTGCACCCCCCCCTTTTTTTTAAGCTTTGTATAGCCCAAGGTGGCTTAGAATCCACTATGTAGTTTATGCTAACACCAAACTTGCAGTGACCCTCCTGCCTCAGCCCTGCCAATGCTTGAATTATAGGAGTGTGAGCGGCACACCCAGCCAGTTCCCTTTACACGTTCTCCGAAATGAGCTGGCCACTCTTCTGGGGCCCTGTTTCTGGATGTCTGTCCTGTCTCATGCATTAGAGCTGTCTTGTTGCCACAGCCTTATGCAAAGTGAGTCTGAAATCCTGCAAGATGGTTTCCGTGATTCTATTTCTTTGTTTTGTGTAGTGATTATAAAATCAGCTTGTCAGTTTCCAGCTGCATTAGATGATAACTGAAAACTATTGTCTTTATCATTTTGGATCTTTAAATCCTTGAGCACAGTATTTTCTGTGTATGAACCTTTTGCCTATGTGTATGTGTGTGCTCCAGGTACATGCTTGGAGCCGGTGGAGTTGATAAGAGGCTGCCAGGTCCGCCGGAACTAGAGTTAGGAATGGTTGGGAGCCACCCATGGGTGCCCAGAAACAAACCTGGGTCCTCTGCAAGAACAGCAGTGCTCTTAACTGCGGGCCATGTCTCCAGCCATGATGTGTTTGAGAACTTGCCACTGAAGCTTCCTGAGTGTGGAGCTTTTTTGCAAGTTATTTTCAACTCCAACTTCTTTTCTAGCTGACTTGTTGGAAAATAGCTGTAGGGTATGCCTGTGTAACTCTAGTGGCTGTAATAGTTACAGAACTATTATTAGTCACTTCTTGTATAGCTTTGTGTCATTTGTTAGTTTTGAGGGATTAGTCAGTGTAGTCTGAATTATCTAATTCATGTGTATGAGCTGTGCTGTTCCGCTCACTTGTGTTTGAAGTGAATTGTGGCTGTGCCGTGAGTTCGTTATTCTTTAAGGGAGTGGGAGTTGAGACCCTGTGTAACCCAGCTGGACTCCTTGTCTTGATCCTCTGTGCAGACTCTTGGGTACTGAGATTGCAATTTTGGGTTCCAATGGGTTGCAATTATGGTGGGTTTTGTCTTTCTTGGTATCTATCTCTGCATGTCCCACCCTCTCCCACCCTCATCCACCCTCTCCACCATCTTTGCTTTAAGGATCCTTTTAAAAAATGTATTTATTTACTATATATACAGTGTTCTGTCTGCATTTAGGCCACCAAGATAGAAAGGGCACCAGATCCCATTATAGATGGTTGTGAGCCACCATGTGGGTGCTGGGAATTGAACTCAGGACCTTTGGAAGAGCAGCCAGTGCTCTTAACCTCTGAGCCATCACTCCAGCCCTAGGGATCCTTTTTAAGGAGCTGGCTTTTGGTTTTACTTAGTTTACTTACTTACCTTCTCTTTATGTTGGGTTTACTCTGCTCTTTTCCTAGCTTCTCAAGGTTAGGTTATTAAATTCTTCATTTCTAAATTTTCTCTTTAGTTCTTTTTCAGGGTGTTTGCTCCTGTCTTGCTCTGTAATTCTAATGTCATTCAACATTGTATTTTCTGGATCCCCTGAGCTGTCTGGTCTTAATTTTTATTTGTGTGTGTGTGTGTGTGTGTGTGTGTGTGTGTGTGTGTGTGTGTATGTGTGTGTATGTGTGTGTGCGCGCACACACATGCATTAGAGTGTCTGCAGAGGCCAGAGAGAGTGTTGAGTGCCTGGAGCTGGATTACCAGACAGTTGTGAGGCACCTGGTATGGGTGCAGGGCACTAAAGTACTGTCCTCTGCAGGAGCAGCCAGCACTGTTGACTGCTGAACCATTGCTTCAGCCCAAAGTTATTCTCCTACGGGCTGGAGAGATGCTCAGAGGTTAAGAGCACTGGTATTCTCCAGAGGTCCTGCGTTCAATTCCCAGCAACCACATTTTGGCTCACAACTATCTATAATGAGATCTGGTGCCCTCTTCTGGGATGCAAGCATACATGTAGACAGAAAAACTTTAAATAATAGATCTTTAAGAGAGAGAGAGAGGTGAAATACTTTCCTAAATTGTTTGTTTATTTGAGACACATTCTCACTGTGTACTCTGGCTGTTCTGTGACTCACTATGTAGACCAGGCTGGCCTTGAACTCAGAGATCTGCTCAGCTTTGCTGAACTCTTTATCCAGCATTTCACTCTTTTAATGGAATCTATTATAGGAGGGATCCCTTGTTTTTGTTGTTGTTTTTCCAGCATTATGCTTTGCTTTGGAATTAGCACAGCCTGTCAGTCAGCCTCTCCTGGGAGGCTACCATGTCGATTTTGGATTTTGCTTCCAGAGCTCTAAGTGCTGCCAGATCCACACTCAGTAGACTCCTGGAACTCCTTTGCACTGCCATCTTGCAAGAGAGGCTGCCCTTCTCCGGGCCATGGCCCCTTCAGCAGCAGATGCTCTCCCTGCTGGCTGTGTGTCTGCTGCTGCCCCAGCCCGGGCTCTTCAGGGCTCCTCTCGCTCTTGCTGCTGTGCAGTGTTGTCCTGAGGCTCCCTTCAGAATGCAGCTGCACACCCGCGGCCTCTGTCTGTGTGCTTGGGAAATGGAACGTGTCAGGTGCCTGTGTTCAGCTACCCCAGAATCCCTTAGTGTCTCTTAGAACAGTGAAAGTTGCCGTAGTGGTTAGTGGCACTCTCTGTGGAAACGTCCTGCCCCTAAGAAAGACGCAGGAATTGGGGTTTTAATGTCAGTTTACGGAAGAAGCAGAAGCCCGGACGAGAGGAGCTTAAGAAAAGTGCACAGAAGCCAGCATGGCTGTTTAGTTGTAAGTGTGTGTAAATGTGTGTGTAAGAGAGAGAGAGAGAGTGAGTTTTGTAGGCTGAAGAGTTCTTGCAGGCAGATGTACATTTAAGCTTTTACTATCCCAAAATGCAGTGCATGGTGTTCCTAACTGCTTTTCCTCCCTAAATAATCTTGGGAAGGTGTGAGGTGAGTTGGTTTGTTGACTGTAGTCCTCACTTTGATTTATTGCTGCTCCTTTAGAGATGAGCTGCACAATCGAGAAGGCGCTGGCCGACGCCAAGGCCCTTGTTGAGAGGCTGAGGGACCATGACGACGCTGCAGAGTCCCTCATCGAGCAGACCACAGCCCTCAGCAAGAGAGTGGAAGCCATGAAGCAGGTTTGACTTCCCTCGCTAACTCAGTTAACAGTCTCACTGGCACCTGGTTCAGCGGCACTTAGAGTGAGAATATCGTAGTGCTCTGTTGCCGTGATGAGACACCTGCCACGGCAGTTCTCATAAAGGAAAAGAGTTACCTGGGGCTGGCCCACGGTTTTCAAAGGCTAGTCCACTGTCATGGAAGGACACATGGCAGTGCGGGCACATGTGCTGGAGAAGGGCTGAGAGGTCTGCATCAGGACCGGCAGGCATCAAGGAGAGACTGCGCCTGGAATGGGCTTTGAAACCTCAGAGGTCACCTCCAGTGATCCACTTCCTCCGATAGTGTGTCAACTAGTGCCACTCGGTGGTGGTCAAGTTTTCAAATCTATGAGCCAGTCAGAACCATTTTCATTCAAACCAGCACACTAAGTACAGCTTAATCAAATAATTTCTAGTCAAAGTTTTCCAGTAGCCTCACCTGTGTGGTTGTCTCGCTTTGGACTAGGGTATACTGTCCCACTTTGGTGACCGGTAGAGAGGTAAGTGTAGCGGGCAGCTTTGTGTGTCAGCTTGGCACAGAGTCCTCCAAGAGGAAGCAGCCTCAGTTGAGGAAATGCCTCCATGAGATCCAGCTGTAAGGCATTTTTTCTCAATTAGTGATCACTGAGGGCAGGTGGACCATCCCTGGGCTGGTGGTCCTGGTTCTGTAAGAAATCAGCCTGAGCAAGCTGGAAAGCAGCAGCCTCCACGGCCTCTGCATCGGCTCCTGCCTCCAGGTTCCTGCCCTGCTTGAGCTCCTGTTCTGACTTCTTTATACTCTGATGCACAAGTATAAACTGAATAAACCCTTTCCTCCCCAACTTGCTTTTTTGGTCATGGTGTTTTGTCACAGCAATAGAAACCCTGACTAAGACAGTAAGTTTATTTATAACCTATAAATTTCATCCCTCTTCTGACAGAAATGCGCATTTGAGTTAAATAAGTGAAATGGTTGAGTCTAAATAAGTACCTTTGATAAGGACCAGGTAGCACACTTCGCTAATGTTGACGTGCATTAGACCTTTGCTGTTACATAATGTCTAATAACCAATTTTTTTTGGAAATGATATAAGGAAATACCTAGTTTTCACCTATGCAGTTATTTCAGATTCATTTTTTCTAGTATCTTTTACCCTGAAGTAGGTTTTCCTCATTGCTAATAATAATAATAATAATAATAGCAATCAAAGGTTTTCCTCATTGCTAATAATAATAATAGCAATCAAATTTACCTACTGTGCAAGCCGTCCCTCCATAAAGATTTCCAACTCTTTAAAAAAGCAGCTCTTTCCAGTCCCAGCACTCGGGAGGCAGGTGGATCTCTGATCCAGTTCTAGGACAGCCAGGGCTACACAGAAAAAAACTTCTCTTTCTTGGGGGAGAAAAGGAAAGAAAGCAGCTCTGAACTAATCACCAGAAAGAGTGGACCTTGTTCCCTTACTGTGTTCTGTACTCGTATCTCCCTGAAGCCATCCACTGCTCGACCATCAGCCTGGCTCAGCTGCTGTGATGGGCTTTAAGAAGGGAGTTTGACTCTTGGAGTCAAGAACCAGGAGTGCCACTGCCTGCCTTACTTAGGGTTTTATGGCTGGGAAGAGTCACCACTGGGACTCCTACAAAGGACAGCGGTTAGTTGGGGCTGGCTTACAGTTCACAGATTCAATCCATTACTGTCGTGACCAGATGCAGGTAGACAGGGTGCTGGAGAAAGAACTGGGGGAGAGCCCTCCTTTCTGATCCACAGGCAGCAGGAAGAGAACTGGCTTGAGCTGAGACCTCCAGTCAGAATGCACCTCCTACTGCAAAGCCACATGTCCTAATAGTTTCACTCCCTGTGGACCAGGGGGTCCTCTCTTTCTTTTTTTGGTTTTTGGAGCTAGGATTTCTCTGTGTAGCTTTGGCTGTCCTCAACTTCACTGGCCTTGAACTCCCAGAGAACCGCCTGCCCCTGCCTCCCTGAGTGCTAGGATTATAGGGGTGTGCCATTATGCCTGGCTTACCATTTTCTTTCAAACCACCAAAGTTACTATGAATTCATTGATAGCCATCCAGTTAGAATGCCTCAAGAAAAATGAATGTAATTCAAAAATTGGATTCCCCTTTTTAGAAAAATTCAAAATCCAACGGGGTGTGGTGGTGTATGCCTTTGAGGCCAGCCTGCCTGGTCTACATAGTGAGTTCCAGGACAGCTACATAATAGACTTTGTTAATCCCTAAGAAAAATTCCCTCCCCACTCTTTTGCGGTGCTGGGGATGGAACCTGGGGCCTTTCTATACTAAGCAAATCAGCCACCGGTCAGTCTCTTTCTGGCTTCCTACCTCTTGACCCTGAAAAGCACAGTTCGTCTCACAGGGACTCACCTGCTCTAGACCCTGCATGCAAGTAGGAGGTGAGCTTTCTGGCTTTTGTGCTCTTACGGTGCTCTAAAGTTCATCTGGGTGGTTGTGTGCATCAGGCTTTTTGTTTTTACCTATTGTCCAGTGGTGCCGCACTGCACGGGGCTATGGTGCACCCCGCGTCTCTGAGTAATTCCACTGCAAATGTGTTCCTTAGGGATGGAGTGTTGGGTTAGGCAATGCCTCTGTTTAGCTCTTGGAGGCTCTGTCTGTTATCTTCATATATCAGATAAAAATTTGCAGATGTTGTTCTTTTATCTCTCATTAGTATCAAGAAGAAATCCAAGAACTTAATGAAGTTGCAAGACATCGGCCACGATCCACACTCGTTATGGGAATCCAACAAGAAAACAAACAAATCAGAGAATTACAACAAGAGAACAAAGGCAAGAGCCACTGTTACTAAAGAGAACTTTAATCTTCCGTTGTGAGATTGGTTTGGGACTAGTTAGTATATTCACAGATGGGCAGAGGCTGGAGAGGTGACTCAGTGCTTCGGATCACTTGCAGAGGATGCAGGTTCAGGCCCCAGCACATGCATCAAGCAGCTCCCAGCTCCTGTGACTCCATCTCCAGAGGACCGGACACCCTCTTCTGGGGCACCAGGCACACATGTGGTGCACAGACATACATGCACAAACTCACATGTACACACAAAATAAACATTAGTTTTTCTTAGTGGGGAAATAATGAACTGAAGTGACTTCTGTAATATTTAAGCTCATTTCATGTTCTATATCCCTAAATGATACTGCAGCTTTATCCAGTCCTCTGCAAACGTCTGCCCAGCTTGGCTTCACTTTAGATGCTTCGCACATCCTGGGTGCACTGTTCCTGTTAGCTGCAAAGGAGCTACACTCCGTCCTCTGCAGCCTGGTGCTCATAACCCCTGTGTGCAGTCCCTCCGCCCTTCGACACAGTGTCAGAATCAGTGTGGTCATGTTGCTCTTGTTTAAATATTTCAGTTGTGTTTGTGTTTTCAGGAACAAGGACCTTCAGTCAATTCCTGCCCTCTTTTCTGTCCTCATCCCACAGCTCTCCACACACAGTCCATCTGCCATTGCAAACCAGTTTCTTAGTATATTCTTCACTTTCATGCCCCTTGTTTGGGATTCTCGTTCCTTCAGTGTTCAGTATAAGAGCTCAGTTCATCACAATACTGTACTTCTGTGGAACATTTCCCAGTCTAGCCTCAAAGCTCTGAAGTGATTTAAGAAATGAGTTTTAAATGGACACTTTAAAAACTTGAGAAATGGCTCAGCAGATCAGGGGCACTTGCCACCAAGCCTGAGTTCTGTACCTGGAACCCACGTGGTAGAAGGTGAAAGTCAGTTCAGGCTGTCCTCTGACCTCTGAATGTGCCATGGCACGCGTGTATACACACACAGAGAGAAGCTTAGAACTTCGATACAAAATAAGGGACTTCTTTGTTGCATGTTTTTAAGATATTCTATATGTCTGTGTTTTGATAAATATTAGATGGAAGAGCATAGTGTAATCTTCTTTTTAAAGATTTTTATTTATTATTTATAAATGCTCTGTCTGCACACATGCCTGCAGGCCAGCAGATCTCACTATGGAGGTCGTGAGCCACCACGTGGCTGCTGGGAATTGAACTCAGGACCTCGGGAAGAGCGGCCATGCTCTTTCTCTCTGAGCCATCTCCCCAGCCCAGTTTATGTGATCTTAACTCATTTGAATAAAGCACATTATTCTTGACAGAACTGCGAACATCCTTGGAAGAGCACCAGTCTGCCTTAGAACTGATAATGAGCAAGTACCGAGAGCAGATGTTCAGATTGCTAATGGCTAGCAAAAAAGATGACCCAGGCATCATAATGAAGTTGAAAGAGCAACACTCAAAGGTAATCCAGTCTCCGAAATTGACTTGAAATGAGAACTGGGGCCATCAGATTTTTTAAAACAATGAAGTCAGTAATGTAATATATGTGTAATATATAACTCATGTTTTTAATTGACATTTTCTGTTGTCATCGCTCTATTTCTTGTATATTGTTTTGACTTAATGCTTGACTACTTGACTTAATGCTCTTATGCTTCTAATTCCCTTTACTTCTTAGTAACAGGCTCTCAGGCTGTAGCCTCTAGTTGTCCAGGACCTCACTTTGTAGACCAGGCTAGCCTTCAAAGATATACCTGCCTCTGCCTCCAGATTGGTGTCCTTAGTAACTTTAAAATGTTATTTATTTGTACATGCATGTGTGGGTGTATGTGTGTGTGTGTGTGTGTGTGTGTGTTCAGAAATAAACTATTTTAAAAATAAAGGTACGTTCAGTGTAAATTTACTCTTTTAAGTAGTATTTTTTCCAGTAAATTTGTACAGTGTTACATGTTACACAAACAGAAACTGAAATGATTTTAAAGTCTGCTATAGCTGAGTGTAGATCGTTTTCCTGAAAAGTCTAGTCTGAATAGGGCCAACTCATTTTTGTGAAAAACCATGGGCTTGGGTTGGGGGAGGAAAAGAATCGATAATGTATGTAGTTGATATCAGCAGCCATTTTACTTGCGGGTCAGTTGTCTCAAGAAGAATAACTTGCTGTTTACATTAAACTGAATTTTAGCTGCCACTGTGAAATACAGATATTGGACTAGATTGAGTAACTGCCTCTTATGTGTTGGATAATGGTGAAGTAATCTAACTACAACTAATATTATGTAAGAAATAGTGGTAGTTATGTGATAGGTATATTTCTCAATTATTGACACATGTTTTGGATTATTTAAAATACTTCTTCCACACTGGTGTTTGTAGTGTTTTTAAATTGTTCCATCAGAATTAAATAACTGATGGGATTCTTTGGGTGACAGATTTACATATTAAGAAATGTAATAGCAACCTCCTATTTCAGATACAAGGAGACTAAAGATTTAATATTATGTAATTATACGATTCATGCCCTAACAAAATGGAATTTCTTGGGTGTTTAACTGGTCTTTTGAACTTAAAGTCTCTATTGTTAGTAATAATATTTATTATTGAGCATTTCCACGTCTGTCTAAGCCAGGTGTGACATGTACTCCTTTAATCCCAGCACTTCTGAGATAGAGGCGAAAGGTTGGGATTCAAGGCCAGCCTGGGCTACATGAGATCCTGTTCATGCTGTTTACATTCTGCCCTACTTCTCCAAAAAAGAAAGAAAAAGAAAACAAATTAACATGTGAATAAGAGGGATATATATATATATAAAGTTGAAATACGGTCTTGAAATTTCAAATTGCCCTCAGGATTTACAATATGAAAAGCAAAATTTTAAAGTTTGGGAAGAAGAGTGGATAACCGGGGTGGAGGGTGTAGAATCAGATTCAACGGTGTTAGTCCCGTGTGGTAGCGACAGTGACAGCACGCGTAGGGCGTAACTAGTAGAGCGTGTGTTAGAGTGCCTAAAGCCCTGGGGTTCAATCCCCACACCAAAAGTAAACAGTACCATTGCTCCCCATTCCATCAATGCTGTCCTGTCAATTGGAGCAGTTAAATACTTCCTAAGGAGCCCTGAACCCTGTTTATTCTGTAGACTGAGTTCATCTACGTGCTGACCCTTGCCTTCTGTGAAGTGACTGTTCAGTAATTTGCTATTAATTCTCACTAATACATATTAATGTTTGTGGTTTTGACTTTTCCCAAAAAGGAGACACTTTGGCCTGCATTGGCTTAGTTGTCGTGGGCAAGAATAAGGTAATTGGAGGAACACACTCCGTTACTGTGAGGCAGCCTGAGGAGAGTGAGTGTGACTACAGTAGGAGGAGCAGGGTTTTCGTAAGCAAAGTCGGAAAGAAGGCGATTATTTCATCTAGCCTTCAACTAACTGCAGGAGGGGGAATGCATGAAAGCACAGAGTTGAGTCTGGAAGTGTTAGGCACCAGTGGTCTAATATGCCTAAACAGAAATAATTCCGTGACACACTTAGGGAGCACGGCTGAGTGTGGCTGCATTGGGAGCCGCAGTCCTGCTGTAGTAACACGGAAAGTTGCGCTCACCAAGAGCTTCCTGCACCATAGAAATCACTAGGAAGCCTGAGAACTTAGGTTTATCAAAATGTTTTTACATTATTTAACAGACGCCTTTTTGGAAATCTTAAAAAAACAAACATTCCACCAGTTGGCTAACACGCATGAACTAACCCTCATTTGGTTTTAAATTGCGGATGAAGCCCGTGTTAACGTTATAATGGCTCTGTGCTACAGATTGACACGGTGCATCCTAACCCCTGCGAAGGAGTCTTCCTCGATGCGTCTCGGCACGTCCTTGAAGCACCTCAGCACGGACTGGAGAGGAGGCACCTGGAAGCAAATCAGAATGTACACTAGACCAAACAGTCACCTTGGGGCTGGGCGGAAGTGGGTCCGTTTAAAAGTTGTTCTGTTTAGAACGGCCCTGCCAGACTAGATCAGCGAATAAAAGAAATCAATCGAGGAACGGTGTGCCTTTCATGGCCGTGCTGCGGACTCTAAGCCTGTCCTTCCTTCTCTGTGTCATGCACAGGGTATAAGTACATGTGTATACGTGTGTGTGTGTGTGTGTGTGTGTGTGGATAATGTGACAGAAACTTCACAGAGATGTTTATCCTCCATCTTTGGATTGCTCTCGCTAGATGCCACTATCTTTTGTTCTAAAACAGTGTATTTCTAGACATTAAGTATTTTCTTTCTCAGGAGGCAGAGGCAGGGAGAGCTCTGAGTGTGAGGCCAGACTGGTCTGCCCAGTGAGGTCCCGGTCAGCTAGGGAGGCCCTGTCTAAATAAAGGAGCCTGCGTTTTCTTGATGATAACTGCAGCCTGATAGTGTGAAAGGCTGGTCCTCCATCAAACTGCAGTTCTTTCATGTAGACCTTTCTTTATGACCCTCTGTTTGCCTTCACAACTAGGAAGCCTTCGCGCGCCCTGACGTCTGTGCATGGTGATGCCTGCTGCCTGTGTCTTTAGGTGCCGGCGTGCTGGGCTGGCTGCAGAACAGGCACACACGCAGGCTCACAAGGGTGTCAGGACAGCTCAGGGTGCTGTGCTGACCCTTACAGCCCATGAGCGAGTCCTTCCGGGCCGTAACTCACGCTGAGTACTGCCGCCTCTGGTCTCGTCAGAGCAGATGCTGAGTCAACACCTTTTCTTCCATTTTAAAGGCAAGAAGTTACTGGCTTCCTCTGACCGACATCCAGTTTTTCAGTTTGCTGTACATGTGCTCTCCGTAACAGAGGGGTCTTAGTGACTCAGTACTGCAAGGAATGGCAGCTGTTTGCTTGGCTAACAGCTTTGCTGCACAGGCTAACCCAAGGCTGTCTCGTCGACCTTCCTGAGTAGATGTGTCCGTGGGGAAGGTGCTTAGCTGTGGATCCCATTAAAAGTCCCTCTCACAAATGAGAATTACTATTCTTTCACATACTTGGTTTTAGCTTTAGCCGTGCTCCACTAGTCAGAGCAGGTTGGTTCTCCGTGTGTCTTCTCAGTGCGTGTGTCACAGAAACTTCTCCATTAAGACAAAGGTTTAGGGGATAGCCCAGCATTCAGTCCTCAGAACCAGGAACATGTCAGGCCTGCATCTTTTTCTTTAACATTAAACGGGGCTCAGTGATGGAGTGCTTGCCTCTTCTAAAGGTGCTGGGTTCAGTTACCAGACACACACATATATATTAAATATAATTACTAAAGACAGTTCTGTTTCTCCATTTCCTGTAGTTTAATAGTTACGTGGGTTCTTTAACTTCTTGATCAAATCCTTTCTACAACCAGTCAATTATATAAAGACTTGATGTTCATTTGGGGATTTTTTTCGTTTACTTTCATATTTAATTTTTGTCTTCATATAGTGAGTCCTGTTGTTAGTATAAACTATTTATTGAGAAAATGATTATTCTCATGCGTCTGTCAATTTCTAAAGCTCTTTGACTCCTTCCCTGAACAAAGTTCAAAAGGTCAGGGTGGTCTACTATTGTACTTTTGTTACCTGCCTTAGTGCCCGAGATGTCATAAATGTGTAAAAACCAAGGAATGAGATTGAAAGAATTTGTAAAACTGATAAATATGGTTGTCTTTATTATGCTGAAATTCTATTTTCATCAGGCAAAAAAAGCTACTTCATGTTTTAATATTCCATAGCAATTTGTTCATTTTGCTTAATAATTTTTATACAACAAATAATAAATAACAGACAGATGGAAACAATAATCTTCCTGCTCTCAGGAGGATTATGGTCGAGAAAGGCTTTGGTTGAGTTGGGATCAGCTTGTAGACATTAATACTATAGTGGAGACTGAGTCATGCAGGCTTCAGGGAAGCAAAGAGTGCATGTGCCAGCAGTTTTTATCTTTCCCAATAGTACATGCAGATGTGAAAAAGAAAATCTTCCTGGTCATTGTGATGAATGTGAAATGAACAGGTGTTTGTTATCGGGTTGAGTTGCATTGTGATCTGTATTAATTCTAATCTATGCCTGTGTCCAGTTTGCTGTGGTTCATGTTAAGAGCCACGTAAGGACGGCACCCCGCATCAGGTGTGCAGTTCTGTCAGAAGAGAGTTCACAGTTTAACTAGTGAAGTCTTCCTCTTACCCCTCATCCACCCTTTCTTCCAGGAGTTGCAAGCACACGTTGACCAGATCACCGAGATGGCAGCAGTAATGAGAAAAGCTATTGAAATTGATGAACAGCAGGGTTGCAAGGAACAGGAACGAATATTTCAACTCGAAGTGAGTTTTAAACTTCAAATACAGGTAGAAAGTATCTCTGAAAACACTCAACCAGAGAACATTCCTAATTTTAACAGACCCACACTCTTCTTAAGTTGGTGGCAGTGATTTCTGAATCTGGATGCTGGTAATAGTGAGTGGAATTGGCTGATGGGTATTTGAGATGGAGGATGCTCAGTAACCTGGGAGTACACCAGCAGTTGATTTTTAAACCAGGCGTGGTGGTGCGCGCCTTTAATCCCATGACTCAGGAGGCAGAGGCGGGTGGATCTCTGAGTTCAAGTCCAGCCTGGTCTACAGAGCAAGCTCTCTTGGACAGCCAGGGCTACACAGAGAAACCCTGTCCTGAAAAGAAAAGAGAAAGTTGAGTTTTGATTCTGTGTTGTTTTTATGTATGTATGTATGTATGTATGTATGTATGTATGTATGTATGTATACGTGTGTGTGTGTGAATTTCTTCAGTTTCATAATTTTTAAAATTCAGTTCTTTGTGCTAGAGATCCTAATGATATAAAAAGTGTTTATAATGCACAAATAATGCCAGTTGTGGTGCTCCTTTATTCCTAGCCTTAGGAGGCAGAGGCAGAAGGATTGGGAAATCAGGTCATCTTCAGCTCTCCAGTGGGTAAGCAGCTGGCTGTGAGACATGAGGACCTGACGGTGAATCCCCAGTGCCCTTGTAAAGGTCGGGCACGTGGTGGTATTCTACAAATTTATAACTAGCAGAGTTTATATGGGTGTTTTATAAACATGTATATCTTCTCCGATCTGTTTGCAAAACACGCTGAATTTTGCCTCTTCACCTTTTCCATCTACACACGTTAAGATTTGCAGCAGTGCGGACGTTGAGTACTGACCCTGCATTCGAAATCAGGTTTTGCCTTTTCTTTTTGAGACAAAGGCTCACTGTGTGTCCCTGGCTGGTCTAGAGCTCCTTATGCAGACTAGGATGACCTCAAACTCAGAGTTCCCCCTGCCTTTGCCTCCCAACTTCTGGGAGTAAAGGTGGTATCTATCATCACACCCAGCTTTGAGATCTGTTTAGTTTCAGGTTGTGAGCTGCCTGTAGCACATAGTACATTTATCCATGTATGTGGCTTTTACCATCTGCGTCTCTCGGGTGTGCCCTATAGGAGTCTCTTAGGGATGACCAAATAAGCATTTCTACCTGTGCACATGCAGCGCTCCCCCATTTGTGTGTGTAAACCATCTTGGGTTTTGCTTGTTCCTTACAGCAAGAAAACAAAGGCTTGAGGGAGATCCTTCAGATAACTCGAGAATCCTTTTTGAACCTCCGGAAGGATGATGCATCAGAGAGTACATCTCTTTCCGCATTAGTGACCAACAGTGACCTGAGTCTGAGGAAGAGCTGAGTGGCTTTCTGCGTGTCACTAGGATGGGCCCCGCTGTGGATGGATGAGCATAAACTTCAGTCGGTCCTTTTCCCTCAATAGTATGTAAGGTACACTGGCAAGAGACAGCAGAAGAATGGATCACCAGTGGTCATACTCGATCCCAAACAAGAAAGGAGAAGCTGAGCCACAGAGAGAGCAGGGGGTCCTGACAGTACTGCAGAGCACTGCAGTCTCAGAACTGCTGTCGGCTTCCTGGATGACACGGGGGCCACCCTGAATACTCCCAATAAACATTGGAAATCCTAAATTTTCCCAATTTCAAACGCAAGTTTTGCTGTGGTTTTCTGAATGGAAGACTATTCTAAGTCTTACCCTTCCTGCTTAGTGTCAGAGTTAACATTCTTACGTACCATTGAGGCATCTGCCTTAGTGCTTACCTGTCAGCTTTCCCGTGTGTTCAGTCTTCCTCAAAGACAGCTCCAAGGCTATAGGAATGTGTTACTGGCACCACAGATAGAAGGAATATTCTTCTATCTCGTTCCTATAACTCTTAGCTAGCACTTCTATGACTTGTTAAGTGTATGCAGTACCATCTCAGGAAGGACCGAGAGGTATACTTTCTAAGAAAGACAGCCCTGTAGACACATTTAGTAGGTTAAACTACTTTGGAAGATTGTTTTGGTTCTGGGTTAACAACGGAACCAGCTTTTCCTCCTCTCTCCTTGATGTTTAAGGACTGAGAGACAGTGCCGTGATTAGTGCAACAAGATAGGCACGGTCATCTCCAAGTAAATTGGGAATTGCTGTGCTCTTGTTTTCAGAAAGTACTCTTCAAATACTTAGAAAGTACATGCAGGTTCCAAAAACAAATTTCTGGATTCAGATCTAAGCTCCGTTTGGTTCTTATGCCTGTGAGGTTTTCCCTACAGCTTACGACTCAGTAAGTGGCAGCATTTTCCTTTGCATTTAAAAAATATATTTACAATATGTAAAGCTTTTTAAGGCCATAGGATACAGAAGTGTGCTCTAACACCAATTGAAACCCAAATTGTTCTTGTTTTATAGTGATCAGAATAAAAGGATAAGAGATTATGAAATACGGTTAATAGTATATTATACTTGTATGTGAAGTACATACTACAGTTAGCACAAATAAAAAGTTCTTTTGAGTATATCATTTGTTAGGTAACTATTACTTTGCAGTGTAATGTGTAATTTCATGTATTGGCAAAATTCAAAGGACTTTTCACTTGAGAAATTTTCAGTCCAAAGTTTGAGTTGAGTGGGGTTAGGGTTGTTGGGAAAGGCCGGTGCCCAGAAGTCAATCAGTTCTCATACAGAGGCCTTAACATTTTATACATAAGTGAATTTATTTTTAAGATTTTCTATTGGTTTTTGGAGAGTCTCCTTCAATGTAGTGATTCATCCTCTCCTGCAGTTTTATTCCAGGCCAGAATTGGAGAAAGAAGAAGAAAGGCTATGCTGAGATGGCAGGCAGTGCTTTGAGTATCTCTGTTGTAAAACATTCTTTGAGAAGTAATTATTTTTATAAAAAATTATTTATCCTTTGTCGTCTGGAATATTAAGGTTGTGAATATTTTAAGACGTTTGCTTTGTTTTTAGCAATAGTTTTCCATCCTCCCCCCAAAAAAACAAACAAACAAGCTTTTAAGCTTCTGAGAGTGTGCTGAAGAGGAGCCTATTTTGTCAGTAAAGACAAGTGTCTAAAACCGAGACGGTCTCAGGTTTAATTTGGAAGCCGCTTACATTTCTTAATGCACTTTGTTTTGAGACTTGCGCACCCTGTTTGTTCCGGGCAGGGCCATGCTGGGGTTTGGACCCAGAACTCTATGTATTTTGTTTACACGTGCTCTGTCACTAAGCTGCATCCTCAGCCCTCTGCTCTGTTGTGTGTGTGCTGCCTACACATGCCTGGTTCCTGGATGGTGCTGTGATTCCCCCTGTTCTTCAGAGGTTTCTCCCATTGGATAACCCTGGGACTCGCAGACTTGCAGCTTCTGCTTAGTGCTTATAACCTCCACACTAGTCCTGTGATTACCATACACACATTTCAGACTGAAACTGTCCAAAGCCCAGCTCTCCATCCTTGCAAGGGCAACTGCAGGGCACAAACATCGTGGCATCTTAGACCATAGCTGCTTGTATATTTCCCATTGAATCTGTTAGCAAATCTGCCGGCTGTATATTCAGGACCAGGTCTCCAGGCTTGAGTGCCAAGGGCCTTTCCCCCTGGGCCACTCTCCACTGCCTTTTGTTTAATGACATCCCTTGCTTCCTTTTTCCATTTCAGCAAACTAAACCAGCCAGCTCACTTTTTCAAACAACTGCAGCCCTCATTGGGCAAGTACCAGCCGTTAACACTGTTAGTAACCATAGTTACTAACCCGGAAACACAGGCCATTCTTAGGGAGCAAAGGTAGGAAGAAAGCATGGAAACTGAGTTCAACCAGAGAGAAGAAACAAGCTGCTTGGGAGCCAGGGCCCTGCAGAGGGTTTGACTCTCTTTAATTTGAGGTATCTTATCAGTTCCCAGGCTCAAATTCCAGCAGGAATCTGGCCAAAAGCTCAGTGTCATCCCAAGTTTCTCAAATACCAGCTTGCTCCAGGAAGGGACTGTGTTAAGTCCACTCTCCAGACAAAAGGCCAAGAAGGAGTGAGTGAAAACCCCCACACCTTAATCAGACCACAGCATCCAGGACCTGACCCCTGCTGACCCAGGGTGCTCACAGGGAGCTGCTCTCGGAGCCCTTGCTCACTATCAGCATAGCAAGCTCAAGGCTGGCTTGGGCCACATGAAACCCAGTCTCAAAAAACAAATACATTTAAACATATGTAAACTATAACCATAAGTGGAGTTTTTAGAGCAAAAACTGTTTTCCAGATTAATTTTTCTTGTTTTTTTTTGAGACAGGGTTTCTCCATGTGGTCTTGGCTGTCTTTGACTAGCTCTGTACACCAGGCCTGCCTCTCCTCCCAGAGTGCTGGGATTATAAAAGTGTGATACCACACACCCCACCCCGGAGTAAATAATTTTGATTAAGTACAAATATGACCTGTATAAACCTAGAGACGTCATAAGAACTGAAGCGTTTTTTTTCAAAGTAGGTATTTATTACAAAAATTGTCCAAATTGAATTATTAAAATTTATGAAATTTTAAAAATAATTTGTATTCTCCCTCCAAGAAAACACACTATGCCTTTTACAGCTGTCACTGTGTCCCAACAGTACAGAGAATGTCTCTCCCAACATACCAAACAGCTGAAATACAAGCATGTGACACAAACCAGAGACCATACAGTAATTAAAAAAAAAAGTTCATTGCTGAAGCTACACTGTAATAACAGAGTAAGAACTTTCTGAAACAAAAGTGGTTCGTTTTACAGTTTTTTTCATTGTACTCAAAGCATTTTCAAAGCCCAAACTGAGGACTGCCCACTACCTGAACTTGTAATGGCTGGCTGTACCGTGAAGAGACTAGAAAGCATCTGCTAAGCAGCGGTCACCTCACTGAAGACGCACACCACTGCCAGCTTCACTGTCACTCAACGCGTGTCGGGAACCAGCTCAGCAGCCGCAGCCTGATGCTTGGAGGGAGGTGTGCAGCCCAGGGCACCTTGTGAAGCAGGGCCTCAGAGCGAGAGAGGCCCTCCATAGGGAACCCAAGGAGCGGCCTAGTGAGCCCCTCTGAGCACTGGGCTTTGATCACACAGAGCGATCAGCAGCAGCCATGCCACAGGTGCTAACACAGCGGCCTCACAGAGCTAGGACGGAAGAGGCCTCCTGGTGTTAGTGACACTGCACAGTAAGGCGGCAACCAGCAGGTCCCTGACAAAATACAGTCCCGGCATCATCTGACACAAGAGAAAGGTCAACAGTCAACACGGCTTTAAATGGACCCCAAACAAAAAACAGTTATTTTGGCTGTAAGTAGCTCATTCCTACAGAAATTCTATTGTCTTTAATAAACTGAGCTGTTTTCAATTACAGAAATAATTTAGTTCTTTAAATTACCACTTAAAGCACTAACAGGCAAAACAATCGGGAAGCCACGCGGATAGATTTTGGGGTAGTTTGCTACAGTTTTTAAAATAGATTGTTTAAATATTGAAAAAAAATGGAAAGGGTTCCTGATTTGAAGTATGAGATCCTTTCAGTGAAATGGGGAAGTGACTTTTCCCTCGGTCTTGACATTCAGGGGCCCAGGGTCAAGTTCCTAATCTCTGTACACAAAGCTGCCTGCCTCCCTGTCCAGGGGTGAGGGTCAGAGCTGCTCAAGAAACTTCGAGAGAAACACCAGGGCTGGAAGGAGAACTGACGATTTCATTTTTTGGTGTGTTTTATAAAAACACATCAATCATCTCTTTCCAAACCAAAAGGAAATTTCTCGAGGTTGTAGAGAATGAGGAAAATGTCCACAGCCAACTTTCCGGTGATTTTTCTCACCGTCACCTGGAGTCCTCTGATCCACCACTGTACGTCAGCCTCCCGCTGAGCCCAGCTGACCCCGCACCGGACAGCGGGGAGAAGTCCAGGGGCACGCTGGCCACACTCGTGGCCTTCTACAGAAGCAGGGGCGTCCGCTCTCCAGCCGGCTGCTCCTTCCGGAAGAGCTCTCTGAGGCGAGTGATGCGGCCCTGGAGCCTCTCTCTCAGGGGCGGGACGTGGTGGCTGGGGTCCAGGATGTTGGTGACTCTGCGCTCCCTCTCTTGCTTCCACAGCTTGTAGGGGTGGGGTGGGAAAGGCGGCTGCCCCCTCTCTCTCCGGATCTGCAGTGTGATTCCACTGACAGCCAGCATCCCCCACGCCACCAGGATGACGAAGTCTGGAGGAGAGAAGATGGCACCCACCGGGCTGTGTTGTGGGTGCTTTGTTTTTGAGCATATGTCTCAAGCTACAGCCCAGACTAGCCCCAAATTTACGGCAATCCCCCTGCCTTGCCCTCCTGAATATCGAGATTATAGACACGAGCCACCAAGCCTCTTATTTTTATTTTTTAAATTGTGTAGGTGTGGTGTAGGCAGGTTCATGTGTGTGGAGGCCAGAGCAGGCCGCACGTGTCTTCCTCTCCATCTTTTTGTCTGGACTGCCCCTCCCATTGACCCTGATCGCTTGACAGCCAGCCAGCTAGCCCCACTCACTGAGTCACGGGCGCACGCTGTCACGCTTGGCTTTTTACACAGGTTTCGGGGCTCTGAACTCATGTCCTCAGGATGCTGCAAGCACCTTACCCCTGGACCGCCTCCTCAGCCACAGGCTCCTCTCCTTTTCCTTTCCTTGTTCCTTTTTCCTTTTTCCCCCCTCCCCACTTTACTCTTTCTTTTTGATTTTTTAGGACAGCACTCTTGGTTCTGTAGTCAAGCCTGTCCTAGGCTGTGAGCCTTGTGGGCCTCAAATTCATGGCAATCCTCCTGCGTCAGGTTCCCACGTGCTAGGAGCGTAGCTGTGTACGAACACAGCAGGCTCTGAACTGTTGAACATTTAATGTGCAATGGCACAGCCCTTCATGGTCCTGCACGGGCCAAGCCCATGCCTTCCTTTCCAGGGTCCCCTCACTTTCAAGGCCAGGCATGAGGCTGCAGCGCACTGCTGCTTCTGAAGTAGTTGGAGCAGGCGGTGAAGTCAGCTGGGCAGCTCCCGGAGCTCCAGCCGTCCCTGTGCGCTGTGCCACAGTTACTCTCTTCTTGCCAGTGGACTCCCAGGGGCCACACGCTCACACACGGGGCCACAGGATGGGGCGGGACAACAGCCGAGAATCCTCTGAGCCTCCAGCGACACTGTGGGAATGCCACTGCCCGTGCTGTGTGTAGACCTCTCAGTGCGGCTGCCTGGGGGTCACCCAAGCCCTTGAAGACAACCCCTTCCCCAGGCTCTGTAAGCCCAGGACATGCACGGGAACTCTGGGGGGCTCAACCTCAGGGGTGAGATCTTAGACACTACCTGGAGCCCACACCCCCGGGAGAAAATTCTCTCCGCACAGGCTCTCTGGCCAGCCTCTCACCCGTAGGGGTCAATCTGGATTGTGGTCTCTAAGGACAGGCAAACATTTGTCCTGAAAACCCTTCCCAGTCACAGCTGTTCCGCTCCTAAGTCTCAGTTCTAAGACATGCCTTCCTGACCTGTCTTTGAACTTTTCTGAAATCAACACATTTTGACAACTCTGTAAACGTGTAACATGTTTCCTTTAAAAAGTGTGGGGGTTCACACCTGTCATCTTAGGGAGGCTACAGACAGGGGGACTGTTGTTAGTGTGAGGCTAGCCTTGGCTACAGAGTGAGACAAATTAAGATAGAAAGTAATGAACAGAATTAAGGAAACATGATCACTGGCTGAAAATAAACAACATCTTCATTAAAGCCAGGAAACGAAAGAATACACTTTAAATCAAATCGGGTGCCATTCTCAGCTGTCAGCCGCCCACCCGGGGCTGTCGGACAGTGTGCCTGTCTGAGGATGGATGGGAAAGCCAGCCAACAAGGCTCACATAGACGTTCAGCAGGGCGAGTGCCGGCACCTCCCATCTGCGCCCTTTGCTCACTGGCTCACTCTAGTTTTGACTCTAGCGGCTTACCGTTGGTCTGGAAAGGCGCTCTGATGACGGCCCCTCGGAAGTCCACGTCAAGAGCCCTCCTGAGGACGTTCAGAGTGATGTAGGACAGGCTCGTGGACACATAACTGCCAACAGACAACACCACAGAGTAGGCGCCCACGACTCCACAGGCCAGGATGTTCAGCTGTGCAAGAGCAGGGTGACAGGTGTGACCCCAGAACCAGACCAGCCACCGGCTCTCACGACAGTCATGGAAAGGTCTTAGCACTGACGAGGGCTAGTGGAGGAAGAGGGCAAACAACTGTCCATACCCATTACTGGTTCTTTTTCATTCTCTGGGCACTCACTCAGCGTGCTTCTATCATACGCCATCCTGTCCCCCAGGGTCTCCTGATTCCTACCCCTGTTCTTGCCACACTCTTCGGACTATCAAAATAGGGTGGCTCACTGGTTCCGAGCACTTGCTGCTCTTACAGGGACCAGCGCCCAGATGTTTGCTCAGCACCATCCTTACCTCTGACACCCTCTTCTGGCCTCTGTGGATACCAGGCATGCGCTAGGTACATGCAGGCAAAACACTCATAAAATAGAACAAATGAACCTTTTAAAAACGTTCAATACATGGAACCAATTCCATGAGACCCTGCTATGTGGTGGACAGCCCTCTGGGGCTGTGTAGAACACTTTGCTGCCTGAACCACGGCAGAATTGCCTGGCAGTGTCCCCTTAGACTGTGGCCCTGCCACTGCAGGGCACACGAGAATGGAGAAAATAATCTTCCCTCCCCTCCACAATAAACTCTTAGGCACAGAAACCTTCTTCAGAGGTGGCTAACGCTAAAGCCCCTTCAGGTGGATGTGGGAGAGGGAGGCGGCTTGCCCTGCTCCCACTGTGGGGACACCCCAAGGGACCGGGGCCTGGACATGTCCCCGGCAGGCAGGGCCACCGACAATGAAGATGGCATAGTTTCCGTTCTACCAGGCCACAGCTGTTTCGCCCTCGGCAGGCCCCTTCCGACTGACCCATCCAGGCTGGGTAATCCACACACACCCTGGGTTAAAGGCTGGGCCAGAGCACGCATAACTGATGCTATAGGCCTCTCTGCTCCCCTTTCTTTAAGTCCATCAGTCCAAAATCAGGGGAGGGTGCCTACCCCAAGCCATCATGAACAGGCCGGAAGTCCCAGCTCTCAGGACTGAGACAGTCACACTGGAGTGTGGGGGGGGAGATGCATGTACTTCCAATAAAACTTGCTTTCATCGCTGGAGAAAGCAGACCTGACCTGGGACCCCTAGGTAAGAACTTGGAAGAAAAACAGGGGCAAACACTTGATAATCATGGACCTTCCTCAGCCCAGGTGACCACGGAGCCCTCCCTGGTGACTGACACACACAGAAAGGCTGGAAGGACATGCTAGCGAGGAGCCAGGTGTCCCAGGGCACTCACTATTCTGAGGCATCCCATGAAGACAACCGGGATGAGCAGGGCTATGCAGGAGAACGTCACCCAGAACACGCTGTCGTCACGGAAAACAGTCAGGTTTCCTGGAAAAGCAGAGGAATCAAGACTCGACCAGATGATCACAGGTTAAACCTTGCTAGCCTGCCGTCCAGACACGAGACCCTCACCAGGCTTAAAGTGACAGTCTGGGGGTGCGTAGGCAGCTGCACCCCGGTTCTCAGTTAGTGGTCGGGGTAATCCACACACACCCTGCTTATGCTTGCTTGCTTGCTTGCTTGACGTTGCTCTGTGCAGCCCTGGCTGTCCGGGAACTCACTGTGTAGACCAGGCTGGCCTCAAACTGAGATCCTCCCGCCTCTGCTGGAACTACAAATGTGTAACCACGACCCTCGACATAATCCCTTTTAAGGGTGTGCTCTCTGTTGTCAGCTCTGTGGCTCTGTCTGATTCCTACCCTCAACGTGGGAAGACTGGATTATCCTTTGTGGAGGTCCCCGGCCGCCCCTCCGACTCTGAACTTTCATCAATGGGGCGCTCCCACAGACCATAGTCAGAGTTAAGCAGTGAGCTCTATATGGACAGATTTGAACCTCGAACCTAACTCCTGCCACGAAGGGCAGCAGAGCAGAGCAAGCTTATGGGCTTCATACACTTTCTGCGACACAACCCTGTGGGCGACACATGCGGGGGACCCAAGCCACTTGAGGTCTTCTTTATAAACCAGCTGTGTGAGGTGCAGAAGCCGGTACTCCCAGACACTAGGGAGGCCGAGGCGGGTGTGGTGGTGCACTCAGGAGGCAGGGGCACGAGCCTCCCTGAACCTGAGGCCATCTTGGTCTGTGCACCTCCGTCTCCGCACCCACCCATGCACCCTGGAGAGAGGTTCAGACCTGGGACCCCTAGTCACGCCTGTCTGCTGGGCAGATGGCACCGGAGGTGTGACTCCTTTGCCATCACCACGTGCAGCTTCTTAAAACTCTTGGGTGGCCGAGGACGGGCCGCAGCTAGAGGCTCATGAAGAACACAGCTTGCAGAGAGCAATCACTTTGTTCCCCACAGCAGACAAGGACCAGCACCTTATCTCCACACAGGAACATGTCACTTACTCACTAATCATTTTCATCAGACGAGGGATATAGCTCACAGCCTAGCATGTGCAAGGCCCTGGGTTCAGTCCTCAGAGACAGAACGAAAGAATAGGCTGTGAGGGATATAGCTCACAGCCTAGCATGTGCAAGGCCCTGGGTTCAGTCCTCAGAGAAAGAATGAAAGAATGAGGGGCTGGTAGGAATCAGCTTGGCCAGAGGTTTCCCACAGTCTGAACAATGTGCGCCAGGCACACAGGCATCATTTCTCAAGACCCAAAAAAACCTTCAGAGAGTCACGGACAAAGGAATTCACATTCTATAGTTACATTCTGTATCCCCAAGAGCTGACAGGCTCAGGGACAGCAACCTGACACTGCCAGCCACGTCCACATTCCCATGAAGGACTGAAAATGTTCGAAAAAAGCAGTCTACTGAGCCAGCTCTGAGTGTCTTTCCTTCTACAATAACCTGGAAATGAAACATCACAACTGCCACGAATGTTAGCTTACAAGCTAAGCGGCTGCTTTTCCTTTTCACTGATCCACTTAATTTATGTGTGTGAAGGCTTTGGCTACATGTATGTACCACGCCCAAACCTGGCGCCCACTGAAGTCACAAGAGGGGCGAGGTCCCTGGCGCTGGACTTATAGACAGTATGAGCCGCCACGAGGTGACTGGGAACCAAACCTGGGTCCCCCCCTCGAGAGCAGCCAGTGCTCCTAACTGTTGAGCTGCCTCCAATTAGATTTCTGTAAGTAACGGAAGAAGCACTTCAACACAGAAGTAGGCCTGCAAAGCCTGCCTAAGCGAGTCCAGGGGCTGCCTGAGAAACCCCGGTGGTCAGAGATGGTGAGGGTGAGCGTGGAGGTAGACGGTCAAGAGAAGACTGGACCTAGCACCAGCTTCCCCAGCCCAGCGCCCGGCAGAGCAGCGCTTGTTCATCTGTGAGCACACTGAGGCCTCCTTATGACTTGAGTTAGATTCCACAGGTTTAAAATGCTTAAAGAGTAACTGCTGGGCACAGTGGCTCACACCCAAAATCCCAGGACTCAAAACTGAAACAAAAGGATTGCCGTGAGTGAAGCCAGCCTGGACTGCACACTTAGACGTTGTATTAAAATAAGGGTTAAAGTAAAATTTAAAAATAAAAATAAGCCTCCGCTGTGCCCAAGAGCCCCAGCACCTACCTTAACAGTGACAGAAGCCCACAGAAAGCTGCCCCTGAGGACTTCCTATGATGCCCTAGGAGGGTGCTCTGAGAAAGGGAGGCTCAGTGTGAGCTGGCCCATTCTTTAGTGTCAGGCTGGTTCTGCAACTGTCATGACTCTTCAGAAGGCAGGGTAGGCCACACTCCAGGTTCCCTGACAGTTTCAGAAGCCCAAATAAAGCCCCCCGCCCCCCCCCCACAGCATGAGAGCCACATTCCTACCCAGAGGAGTGAAGAGAACAGCGGAGGAGACGAGGAAACCCAGCATGAGGCCCACGCACAGCATACAGAGCGTGACGGTCCCAAATCGCCACCAGGTGGCCACCAGGAGGATCCCACCGATGCTGCCAGCTACGGCTGTGAGGACCAGGCGAACTGCACAAGGGAGATGACAGAGAAATGAGTCCGGGCTTCACCGCAGCTTCCACCTGCATGTCCGGAAGACACGCCGCCCCGGGGCTGGGACAGACAGCTGTGTCAGGAAGGTGGGACCCGGAAAGCAAAGGCGACCCATCTGTTAAACGTGCCAGGGCTGTGATGGGTGAGGCTCAGGATATGGTTCACCTGGTAAAGTGTTTGCCTAGCATGAAGCTCTGGGTTCCACCCCCAGCACTAAATTAATCAGGAAGGACCAAAGGTTCAAGGTCACCCTTTGCTACGAAGTGAGTTCCAGGCCAGCCTGAGCTACAGAGACCCTGCCTCAAGAACTAAATGAAGTTGGGGAGAGGACAGTGTTTGAGGTTCCCAACCACTGGGGTGGGACTGTGGGCTGTTTTGAGGCGCTGTCTTACTCTGTAGCCCAGGCTGGCCTTCGGCCTTGGACTCACGCATCTGGAGTAACAGGCATACACCACTCTACCTAGGTTTGTCTGTTCTGTGTTCCTGGGCTCTACTACCAGGCAAGTGCTTTACTGCTGAGCCACTCTGGACTCTTGTTTTGATTTTGGTTCTGGGGACAAGGTTTTACTATGTATTACAGACTACTCTCAGACATGTAATCCTCCTGCCTCAGCTTCCTGAGTGCTGGGATTTCAGGCATGTGCTGTAGCCCTATCTCTCTGTTGTGCCCAGAGAGCCAGCCCAGTTGAGGAGGAGGTGGAGCAGAGCTCCAGGCCACCCACCACGAGTGGTACACATGAGGACACCCAGCACAGATTAAAGAGCGGCAAACAGGGCGGGTTCGGACCCAGCAGCTTCCAGTCTGCGTATCCAGCTAAACTGTCACCTACACTCACCGTCGTACTTAAGGAATGTCAGCCTTGTGATCAGGATGTAAAAGAAGAATCCCAGGAAGATGAAGCCGACAAAGAATAATTCTAGGAGGAAACAAATGATCAGAAAACAGGAAACGAATGAAAACCCACCTCAGGTACCTTCACTACAAAACAGAGGCGTCTAGCACCTAGCACTCACACACCATGACTGTTCACAGAAGAAAGGTTATTTAAAGGGCAGGAAACTTTAGCGGTCAGGGGTAAAGTCGCTCACAGTTAAGTGAAGGATGCTGTACGAGGCTGCCGCAATAGACCCTGGCTGCAGTTGCCTGTGCTGTGCGTGTTACATAATTAAATGGTTCCTTGCTAGGTTCACAGTTCATTTACTACACTTTTTTCTTCATGTTCTTAGAAAAGGGGTCTCCTTCACATAGCCCAGGCTAGCCCCAGGCTCATGACCCTTCTGCCTCAGCTTTCCAGAGTCGGGAATTACAGGCACAAGCCACCATAACGTGCCTCTGTTTTTTTTAATGGGGTGTGCTTGTGAGGCCAGAGACAAGCAGGCGTTGGTCCTCAGCTTTCACCCTTCGCAGCACGGTTGACCCGCAGGCTTCTGCTCTGCTGCTCATTTGCCTGCCCAGTTAGCTGGCCCCAGAGCTGCTGGTGTCCTCCTTTCTCCATATCCCACCTGGCCTCACAGACACGCGCTACCACGCTCCACCGCCACTGCGCACTACCACACTCGGGTCCTGGGGTTTGAACTCAGGTCCTCACACACAGCTGTCTCCCCAGCCCTTTGTTTTCCCTTTGCATACACTGGCCGAGCACTCCCGCTGTCCCCAGGCCTCTGTTTTCTAACATGAAACACTCGTGCCTAATCTGAAAGGACACACTGAATAGAAAGGTCAGATAAACACAACAAAACTGAAAGGTAAGGAGAAAGTAAAATGTGACTTTCATATTCTCTTCATCCTGAGCGTACAGATAACTTTGTTTCCCACAAGTCAATCTAATCTTCAGCAGAGGATGCAGCTCCGTCCCTTTCTCAGGCTCTCCCCAGCAGTTGCTGAACACTGTACCTCAGCATGGCATCAGCTTGGGAACTTCCCACAGGACAGCAATTACACCTCAGTCTGCAATCACTGCCACAGAGGAGCAACTCTTCCCACAATTCTCTCTTATCAACCGAGCAAGAAAAAGATCATTCTGACATGAAAGAAGTTGCAACTCCAAACCCTGTCAGAGCAGGCTCTGAGGCTGTACTGCTGGGGACTACCGGCCCTGGTCAGTGCTCAGCCTCACAACTGGCTGACTCCATATGGATGTGTGTAAATGAAAACACTCCATGGAGGCAGTCCTGATAGTGGAGCAATGGTAGGCATCGTGCCCCTCCTGCAGCTAAAGCGCTTCGCACCGAACAGATTCGGGGCCTCTGCTCAACGCAGCGCCAGCCTGGCTTCTACCAAATCAAGTCGACTGCGGCCTCCACACCAGTTTTTCAGTGGCCTTCAGCTCTGATCTCCGAGACCTCCAGTTAGCGAGCAGACAGAACAGTCTGAGCTCTGCCATACAACCCAAGCTCGTGCCCCTCCAAATGGGAAGCTGCCCTCTGCTGCTGAGACTGGGAACACAGAACTGCAGAGCAGCTGGGTAGACTCATGCCCACAAACCCATCCGTGAACAGCGGGGAGGCGCCCTCACAGGCCCCGGCAGCAGGGCACATGGCGAGGTGCAGAGTGAGGCTGCATGGGAAGACGTACCTGTTTTCCAGAATCTATGTCCAAAGAAACAAACGAAGAGCCCGAGCAGGGCAAACAGAGTGGAGAACACTTTGGTAGATATTCTTCCTTAAAAGAACAAAATGAACAAAATTAGTGGACAAAGGCATCCATGTTAACGAATAAGCAAAGCAGGGGAGTGTGGAAGGTCATCTCCTACACAGGCGCTCCTTGCTCTCAGAAAGACCCTCAGCCCTGCTGTAAGATCCTGAGCCCCGCCGAGCTCACCCATGCGGGCAGCGACTGCCGATGGCCGCTCCTCATAACAAGGAGCGCCAGGCCCCGCAGGCCCCTGGCCCCTGACGGAGGCTACCACGCTACCCAGGGCAGTTCTTAGGAAGGGCACGGCGGGGCGTGTGCCTAAAACAAGTCTGCTTCTTCACCAAATACACTGCAAGGGGAAAGGGGGCGAGTCGGTCAAAGGAAATTCATGAGGCATGTGAGCTAAACACAGATCTCATCTACACCCTGCCTCGGCCCTCTGTGGTGACTCACACCTGCCATCCCAGCCCCAGCAGGCTGAGGCAGGAGGATGGCTGCATAGTCAAGGCCAGCTGTGTGACACAGTCAGTTCTAACCCAGCCAGACCTGAAGAGTGAGCCGTGTCTCAAAAGACCCAACAATAGGGGCTGGAGATATCGCCAGTGGGTGAGAACACTCATCGCTTTTATGGAGGGTACAGGTCCTAGCACCCACATGGGGGCTCCCAACCATCTGTAAACTCCGGATCCTCGGGATCCAGTGCCCTCTGCTGGCTCTGCTGGCTCTGCTGACACTGCACTCAAGAGCACAGGCTACACACACAAAACATCCATTCACATAAAAGTAAATAAATCAGTCTATTGTTTAAAAAGGTACCTTTTATCAAGAGAAAACCCTTCTCACCAAATTCACCTTGGAATTTGCCACTGTTATTCAAACTACCACCAAACACACAGAGGCGCAAATGCACGTGCACACGAACGTTAAAAACAGTTCCCATTGTTCCTTGAAGTCAGAGAGGAGATCACCACCACCACAGAGCCAGAGAGAAGGGAAAGGGAAGAATTATTCCTTCTTTGGTAACCCTTCAAAACGAACATAAGGAAACAGCCCTTGAATAAGAACAGATGCAAAACACCTACACACTCTGTCCAAATCCCAATCTGTCGGCCACAGATTCCAATGTACCCAATGCTGACAAGTGCCCACATGGAGAAAGCACAGCCACACACACTTAAACACTCGAAAGGTGTAAGAGCAGAGGCCACAGAACATGATTTCTGAGAACCAGACTTCGAGAACGATGGAGCGGAAGATAGAAGTACAGTCTGCTTCAGCGCGTGGGCGGCCACCTCCAAACACAGGCAGCTGGATGGGGTGTGCTGCCTGGCTTCCCTTCAGGTAAAAGCTGGGTCTGCAAAGAGCTAGCTGGTACGGCAGCCCTGGAGCCGAGAGCTTACGTCTTATCTGCAAGTTGGAGGTAGAGTAAGACCGGATTTGGCGTGGGCTTTTAAAACCTCAACACCCAGCCCATGACACACCTCATTCAACAAGGCCACACCTCCCCATCCTTGCCAAAAGTTCCACTGACCAGAGACCAAGCCATTCTCCTTCAAACCACAACCACAAACACACACAACACACACATTGGGAGTAAGTAGCAAGATCAACAGAATGGACTGCCCGACCTAATCAAGACTATACAGAGAGGTCCCCAGTGTTCCTTCAAGTGGGAGAGGACCGCTTTACCTCAGAGCCAGACAGAAGGGAAAGGGACGATTTACGCAAATGAAGCTTCCTTAAAAGCCTAAGCCATGTGCGGTGACAGACGCCTGTAACCCCAGCATTTGGGAGGTCAAGGAAGGAGGACCAGGTCAAAGGTCATCCTCAACTACAGAGTAAGTCTGTCTGTCTCAGTCTCTGACTCTCAGGTCTTGAGCATGGGTGGCCATGTTTGAGTCAGGTGACATTCTTTGTGTGACCTAATTAACCAGGTCCTGACACCCTCTCCTGGGCCCTCTGTGCACGTGCAGAAAAAAGGATGAGAAGTGAACAGCATTGTACAGCAACTAACAGTGAGAGAAGAAAGTGAGGCGCGTGCACAGCCTTACATGATTTTTGCATCTCCACTGTGACACTGTTTCAAAATGAAGTGTTGAGCAGAGAGTGTGTGTGAGCTGTGTACACGTGCGCGCCTCACCTCCTCTCACTCCTGGAGTCTCCTGACCCATGTGGGCGTCCCATGACCCCATCCCAGTCTCAGCCCGGGATGCCCTCCAGTCAAGCCCTGCCGGTGCTTTCTAAGTGGAGCCCATCCGACCACGAGGCCGCGCCCTGGGCTCACGATCCCTGTCCTCCGACTTCTCTCACGCCTGTGACTGCTCCCCTTCCTGCTGTTTTTCTGCCTGGTTCCCACTAGTTTCCCAAATGGTACCTCCCTCTTACACAGGGATGTGCTGTGGGGGGGAGACGGCCACCACCAGCCAGCACTCCCGCTGCTCTGGCTTTTGCTCAGTTTCAGCGCTCTAGCTCTGTGCACGCAGGCGCTCTGTCGCCCTGAACAGAGTGCAGTGACACGGCATCTTTTTTCAGAGTGATTTATTTCATTAGGTGTGTGCTGGTGTTTTGCCTGCATGTGTGTCTGTGCACCATTTGCACGCCCGGTGTCCTTGGAGGGTAGCAGAGGGCATCGGATCCCAAGAACTGGAGTTGTGGACAGCTGTAACCTGCCCCATGGGTGCTGGAACTGAGCCTGGTCCTTTGCAACAAGTTCTCTTAACTAGTGAGGCGTCCCTTCAGCCCTCATGTGGGGTCCCACAAAGGCTGAGTGAATGGATAAGAGCTACACAAAGCACTTTTGAACAATCTTACGCTCTTCACTAGTGCAAAGAGACCTGCAAAGCCACGGAAGAGTTCGTCCAGGCTCAAGCCCACACACTCACCAGGAGAAGCGCAGCTACCGCCATCTGCTGACTCAAAGCTGCAGGCATACGTGTGTGCGGGCACGTAGGCAGCTGACGTATTGAAGGCCGGGTCCCAGACGATGACATTATAAATGACTCCTTGTCCAGGGAGGGAAGAGAAGGACACAGCTGTCTTATCGTCGGCTGTTAGGGTGACCACCTAAAGTGGAACATAACAGAGGTGCGTTCGTGGCTTTTTCAAAGCTGCAGTCACCTGACAAGGCCTGTCAACAGTGTAGAACCCCCAGGAGCTAGGCTGCTGGGGGCTCTGGGGGAGGACACTCAGTTCCTTCTTTAAATAAAAAGACTTTAATTTTAGTGTGTGTGTATGTGTGAATGTGCACTTGTGAGTGTGGGTACCCTGGGAGTCCACACGAGGGCGTCAGATCTCCTGGAGCCACCTGAAGTGGGTACTGGGAACTGAGTCACGTTCTTTAAGAGTGTGGCCCTGGGGCTGGAGAGACCGCTCAGAGATTGAGAGCACTGGCCGCTCTTCCTAAGGTCCCGAGTTGGATTCCCAGCACCACATGGTGGCTCACGACCTTCTACAGTGAGATCTGATGCCTTCTCCTGGCCTGCTGGCACACGTGCTGGCAGAACACTGTATACATAATAAATATTTAAAATAAAAAAAAAGTGCAGCCCTGGAGGGTTGGCCATGCTCTGCCAACGCTCTTACCCACAGGTACAGGGGCAGCACAAGTCAGACCCCAAAACAACAGGAAGTCAGGAGGGAGTTTGGAGAGCTGGATCTGGGAGGAGTCAGAAGAGGGATTGGGAGTAAATATGATGAGAATACACTGCAGTCATGTGTGAAATCCTCAAAGAACTAAAAAAATATATTACAATATTAATACCAATATACACACCCTTCAGCAGTTTCTCAGTTCACACTTGCCAGAAGTTCTGACCTAAGCTGCCCAGGTGTACAGAAAACTATCACCTACTTCCTACCCAGGGTGATGAGGTCACAGACAGAGCTATGGCTAATCCAGGGTACTGACTGGGCTACACAGGCTAAGACGGGCTCACTCACCTTGGCCGCACTGGCCTTCACGTGGGACACCTGGGCCATCCTCTGAAGATGCTGCAGCAGCGAGGCCTCCGTGAGGTCACCCTCAGGAAGGAAGTACTGGTAGACGTCATAGCGCAGCCTCCACCTCGACTCCTGGCCCGTGCCCACATCACATAGCGGCGGCGCTGCGGCCCTGAAAGCGGAGCTGAGCGTGGGTGTGCTGTGGCCAATGCTCACCCAGGGAAGGAGCCAGCGCTCTGCCTCAGAAGGTCTGCAGGCGCGTGCCCGCCCTGCAGCCTCAGAGCCGAGGGGCCATGGCTCTGGCTGGATTTCACACGGGAGGCCCTGCCGGCTTGGTGGGATGGTGAGGCCATGGGGGCCTCCTGGGTGGCACTGGCCGGCTTGGTGGGATGGTGAGGTCATGGGGCCTCCTGGGTGACACTGGCGCCCAGGCAGCTCCCAGGCACTCTCCCTTCTCACAGGATGTCAGCGGCCAGCAGGAGGCCCTCCCAGGCCCCGCTGCCCCCTGAAGCCAGGAGAGAACACTTGCACATGGCACTGGCTGCAGTCCTAGAACTCGGGAGGCAGAAGAAGGTACATGCACGTTCCAGGCCAGCCTGGTCTGCCCAGAACCCTCCAAACAACGGAACACACGTAAGATCAATAAATGCCTATAAATGAGCAAGTAGATTCCTAATGTTCATCCCGTGCGCTCTGCAGGGCAGCGAGTATCCTTAACCCAAAACCTGAAACTCCCCGGCCCCCGCTATGGTAGTTTCAGATTCGATGGTATTTGGGGTTTTCAGACTAGGGCTGTTCAACCATTAAGGTCTATGCGAATGTCAAACACTTCTGGCCCCGACAGCTCAGACGGGGGCTGTTCAGCCTACTCTTTCCTCTTTCCGACAGCAGCGCTAGGTAACAGTCCACACACACAGAGGTCCATGTGGTTAAAAGAAAAATCAGATTCTGACGCGAGTCAGGCCCACAACGACGACATCGCTGCTCTTTGACACTGTCATGTAGTTTAAAATTTCTGCTCTTATTTTAAACTGTGTGTAAATGGGCCTGTAAGTGTGTGCCTGTGTGTGTGAGTGTGTGTGTGTAGAGCCCAGAAGAGGGGTTTAGCTTCAAAGGCCTCAGAAAACCTCTCTGTAAATAAAAACAACTGCTTCTTCAGAAAAGCATTAAGCTTAAATAACAAAGAGCAGGCGGCGGCAGCACTTCAGTGCATGGGCAGAGTTCTCGGTCGATGGTGGCCGTGAAAGTAGAGAGTTGAGGCAGAGTTTTGAAAATGTAAATCCTCTTCAGGCATAAGAATTTAGGGCTATGGTGCCTTCTACGTGAATGCTTTGAGAAAACTGTGGACGCCTGGGAGGACAGCTCAGTGGTTAGGTACACAATCTTCTCTTACACAGGGTTGCGTCCAGTCCTGGCACCCACAGCAGGCAGCTCCCAGCCTCGTAGCTGCAGCTCTGGGCATTTGGCACTGCTGAACTTTACAGGAACCCGTACCCGTGTGCAGTACACACGCGCACACACACACTTAACAAAGACCGCCCTCTAACACCAGAAAACGAAAATGCCCTTCCAGGCGTCAGCAGGCTCACATCACACCCATCTCTTCAAAGAAAGACTTCAAACGGACTGAGAAGAGGACTCACTATAAACGACAGCTCGCACACTGTGCCAATCACCCAAATCAGAAGCAATGTGGCCTTCCTGTGGAAGTGTGAGGCAGTCTCGAGGCCTGAGGAGCAGTTTTGGCGGGGAGCCTTACCTTGCATAGCCTAGGTTTGCCGGTGCAAACTTGACAGTTGTTTCAAAAAAATTATAGTCCAAGTAAATGTTGGGATCGACATCTAGCTCGAACTCCAAATTACAGCCTCCAGGAATGGGATCTGGACGAAAAACTGTGGGATTAGTAACCCAGGAAGCCTCACCTCATCCAGGAGACACGCCCTTCACTAGGGCCTCCTCATATCGGCAAGTGGGCACAGAAGGCCGCATTTCTGTGGCATCATCACGCGGGTGGAAGTGCACAGTTCTCACTCCCTTTCCCCTCAAACTGTCTCTTTCAAATCCAGGGCTGGCTGTGTGCACTTCAGCCCTGAGCTGCTCCCAGCTCTACTCCCCACAGCCTGGCTGTCTGCGCCCTCACTCAGCCCTCACTCTAAGCCGCCTCACCCCGACGCTGTCTGAAGTGCTCCCACTGAAGGACACCCCGACTTGCCACTGCTCCTTCAGTCAGACCCTGCTTGTTAGTCCTTTGCGCTTTTCTGGAATTTCCTCTTCACCACTCCTGGCTCAGGCAGAAATTCCAGGCATTCCTGTGTCCTCCTAGCATCTCCCCAGCGGTCACCCAGGTGCCCGTGACCCTACGGAACAACTGTGTCCCCCAGGTGTCTGCACTCTCACGAGCGGCCTTGGCTTTAGTAGCAGCTGTCTACCCAACCTCACCCTTCACGCCACGAGGCCTTGGCTTTAGTA